AAAGCAAATACATATGATGACTCAAAAATAGATCATCACGATCGTGGCCGTAGATCGCTGGGCACATCTCTGATATACTTTCCATGATCTTATGCCCCCATTAGGTAGTTACACCCAAAGAGACCTCTCAGTTTAAAATAATCTCTATTTCAAAATTTATGAATGAATTAGGTGATATACTGATATGATTTATATACTAAAGTATATTTTGAATCTCTTTTGACTGTTTCACAGTTTCATGATTATAATAAGATAGATCAATTTTTGGTGATATTTAATCCTGAATTTGAGGCTATTCATTTCAATTTGATGAATTGTGACCCATCTTCTTTAAATGTGTGCTTTAGAGAATTACTTTGTGAAGAGCAACATTTTACCACACAATTCATTTTTCAACAACATAAAGTGCCCAAGAAAAGCAAAGATAAATTTCCGTAAATATATATAATAGGTACAATGCTTTAGTTTCAAGGGCTACGGACAGTTTGCTGTCAACTGTACAAAGAAATTTTGTAATTATTGTAAGTCTAAGAAGCTTGTTAAAGAATGTCGTGCCTATCATCAAAATTGGCAATCAAGTTCTAAACAAGAAATCATTGCTGATGATGGTATTTGTTTAGTAGCTGTTGATAAATCAGGCATTACTCTTGATATGGTTCAACAAATGGTTATTTTAGCCCTATTAGCCTTTAGGGCTATAAGGTATGAATGCACTAACTCCATCTTTGCTTGTGGTGCTTGTGGATTCTACTGCATCTAATCATATTACTCGTACTTCAAACCTTTCTTCACAATACCAAAATTTTAAATGGATCATCATCCATTTAGATTCCTAATGATAGTCAAATAGTTATCTTTTGAAACTATTATGTGTGTCAATAAATGACCCGACCCAAGCCCGACTAAAAAAATATAGGCTCAACCGTTCAAGTTGACCCGATTATTATTTGGGTTGCTTTCAAGTTTGAAATTTGACCTGATTTATTTTTGAGTTGGGTTTGGGGTGACCTTAAAACTCGATATTAATAAAAAATTGATCGATTATCATTTGAGTTTGGTTTAAATGGGTTGTTTCATATTAAATGGGCCGCATTTGATCCATATAATAAATGGGTTGGTTTTGAGTTAAACACATTTGAGTCAAAATATTTTTGACTTGTATGATAATTGGTTGGGTTAGTGTCAAACATATTTGGGTCGGTCAACTCATTTCAGACCCGATCTTGACCCGTCAACCTTTGTAAGAACCGAGTTTGCAGGTTCAAACGAAGTAGGACAAGCAGACAAGCAAACTGAGTAAGCATACCATGGGCATGAGCTTAGCTGGCGGAGCCAGATTGTGCGAATGAGTGAGGAAGTACGTTTGACTGTGGAAAACAACGACTCCTCGTGTGATATATCCCTGATTCGCTCACTCTAGTGGAAAAAAAAAGGGAACGAAAAAAATGAATGCAAGTTGATTGAGAGAAAGAAAGAGAGTTCAAGAGGGAGACTTTGATCAAGCCGAAGGAGAAGTGGTCCAGAGAGAGATATAGAGTGAAAGCGAGGGAAACTATGGGGCGAGCGACAAGCGTAGAGCAGGTTTATACGACTGGGAGAAGTAGGATCTTTTTTTTTTCTTATTTTATTAGTATTATTAACTAATTTAATATTTAAAAATAGAAATTTAATATTTTAAAATATAATATTAGAGTTTTGATAAAATACAATGATAAGAAATTTTTTAAGAAAATTAATATTAGAAATTAATTAATAATAATATGTATAAGATTATATGAGATTTTAAATTAGGTAATGAATAAATTAAATTTATATAAATAGGATTGAGAAGAATAATGAATTAATTAGGGCGAACTGTATAAGAAATGTGGGTATATTTTATCAAATGCAGAAATTTTATTATAGAAGTTGCATGCAAGACACAATATGCCTCACTGTTCACATGGGGGCATCCGCCATTCTTCCTGCAAAGTCTAGAAAGTCATCTAGAGATGCTTGGATTTTTTTACTAGATAGCCTCAAATTGCATAGAAACATATGAAAGGGGTTACTAAAATAACCCTATTTAAATCCCCATTGGGTAAATAATAATAAAAAAAAGAGAGAATAGGAGTCGCCTTCATAAATTGGTGTGGATGTGGTTGTCCATATCATCCGGTTAGTGCTCTATTGGTCAGCATCTGCAGTTTCATTATTTTTTTTATTGTCACTATTGACGCTTCTGTTGCTTCTGTTACATTTTTGCTTCTCTTGGCCTGGTACTGTTGTGCTTTGGCGCTTCTCATGCTTGCAAATCCTTTTGATTGTTGCTACTGTTCTTACACTTCTTCCGTGTGTATACCTTTGATTTGTTATGATGCCTTCCAAAGATTTCATTTTGATGACTGAAGCTTGTGGTAGGTCTTCGGCACTCCGTCTTGAACTTCTAGCTCATTTGCATTAATTCATGTATCATCTTGCAGCTAAACTCTTTACTTTTTCTAGACCAACTTGTATCCTCCAAGCTTGATGGAGATGATCTACTCTTCAAGAAGTTGTTTAACCTAGTGCTACTGGTGTTGTCTCCTTCAAGTGGTTATTGGAGAAATATATATCCGTAGTGTAGTGAAGGATTCTTTCAGGTAAGAAGATAAGGTAAATAATGGATGGACTAGTTGAACGTGTGTAGTGTTGTTAAAATTTATCATGTCTAGTTGAATGAGTGTAGTGTTGTTAAAATTTATCATGTCAAAGACAACTAATTCTTATGTCCTTTGGAAGATCAAGGTATAAGTGTTACTATAATTAATTACAAGCGTGATTAGGAACTATAATTCTAGCAGCCGGTTTCTCTTATGTTAGCTTTATTACCGTTTCTTTTGGGAAATAGATGGCAAAATATTGTGAAGCCAATGTCTTCTAATCTAGAATTCTAAATGAACTTTTTTTTTGGAGATTTTTTAGCAATTTTGGGAGTGTTCTGGGTTCTTACAAAAAAGGAATGAACTTAATTACCACCTGATTGTGTTCCAAATATCTTAGAAAATCTTGGAACAAGATGAAGGAGCATAATCTTATTGTTGAAACACGAACTATCACTGGTTAATTGATGCAGGACATATATGAGATTATGATTTAGATAAGGAATTTGCACGTTTAATGATTACGAGCAAGTTAATTAAATCTTTATGGTGATTTAAACAATGAAATAAAACACAAAGAGTTGTAAACACAAGCTTAGGCTAAGTTACTTGCGAGAAGTAAAAACCATAAAACAGCCAATTACTCTTGACGTTGCATACGAGATAAGTTTCAACAAGAAATCCGTAATCTAACAATAAGAGCAGTGCTATGAAAGATCTCTCACACAAGTCTCCTAAACACTAAGCTTTAGCGTATCATTGCAAGATTTTTCATGAGTCAATAAAAACCACAAGGATCAACGAGGAAGGTAGGAGAGAAGGGAAGAGTTCACCTTTGTCAAGATTAAAACTTCCTGCAAGCTTGAACAACAGTTGGTGGCTGCAGGAACCTTTGGACAGCACACTTTGATGTCCCGAAAACTTCGGGCAGTGAGTGGAGACTTCTCCCAGCAGTTGGACAGCAAGGTGGACAGCTATAGTCTCTGGACAGCCCTTGAATTGGTGTTGACAGCAGGTGGGAACCAATCTGGACAACAGTTTCACTGAGTTAGGGAATTCTGGACAGTAAGGAAGACCTCTCGGAGATGCAGGACAGCAAGGTTGACTTGCTGTAATCCTTAGACAGTAGTTAGGAAATTTCCCAAGTGAAGAAGTCTTGAGGAAGAGGCTTCTGAAAGGGGCGGCTAGGGCTGCTACAGGTTTTATTAAACCTGAAAATAAATTTCAGATTTAATTAGGAATGAGCCAGGGTTTGTAATTTGAATTCAAGGTATTGGGAGGGAAAGGAAAATTTATTCCTAATTGAGAGGTTGATTGAAGTAATTAGTGGGAGGTGATTTAATGTGGGGGGGGAGG